ATTTCATGCCATGGTGAGGAGCATGTTGCCATGCTCGCATTTTGCTTGTGGGTCCTCCGGTTTGGGATTGCTATTCACAGCACTTCGCGCTCGAAGCCACCCGCACGGAGTGTGTGCGTCTGTTTGTCTCGATCTGTCTCGGTCTGTCTCGGACGAACACACCCTTGATGTCAATAATGCAGTCTTCCCCGGGCGGCATAGCCGGCATCGCAAACATTTGGCCCGAATCGATATCGAATCCATACCAACTCAATTTTTACCAATCTTGACAAGGCCACGCAAGCACAGCAACTCCTATCTATAAATAGAGCCCACCCCAGCTGACGCTAAGGACTAGCCCAGAAGGACTATAACGGCTTACCCGATACAGCCACAATGCCTCGGCACCTTCCGTGCGGGCGGATTTTAGTGTTAGGGTGTCGCCAGGGTTTCCAGTTCACACCCAAAAGTGCTGCCCTGTGACCACCAGCCACGCAAAGTGCCACACACACACAGGTATGTGTGTATATATATATATATTTTGTCATTGTTGTGGCTGTGTGTTTGTGATTGTGTGTTTGCGTGTTTGTGGCTTGTATATTTGTGGTTGTGTTTTTGCAATATGTGTTTGCGGTTGTGGTTGTGTGTTTATGGCTGTGTTTGTGATTTCGTCCGTGGCGTTTTTGTTTGTGGTTGTGTGCTGTGGCTGTGCTTTGTTGGTTGTGTACTGTGTATTTCGCGTTTGTGGTTATGTGTTGTGTGTTGAGGTCCGCAAGTGCCCACTGCGATCTGGTGGGGCGGATGTGGAGAAGGACGGAAGGAGGAGAAGAGCTCTGATAAAATCTAACAAGCCTCACTTGGCACGTGGGGGAAATATGTAGACATAAACGCACATGTGCATATACACAATAAAGTACAATGTGTGCACATATGCTTCTGAACACATTGACGTGTCAGTTTTTGGAATTGACGCCATGTGGCTCATCGAACGTGGGAACTGTGTCGGAGAAGCGCGCCAACACTTCCAACACTTGGTCAGATTCATCCCGCCGTGCCCTTCCAAGACCTCGTCCACCCCATTCATCTTCACGTGAACTTAGCAAAAATGCTCCAGCCCTTTATCTCGTAGCTTTCCAAAAGCCATTCGTTTCAGGTGGCCGGTTGTGGCTCTTCGAGGCGTTGAATGAAGCGCGGCAAGCGGCCAGGGACTGCGGAGTCAGCGAGGCGGCACCTTGGGCAGCAAGCATGCAGCAATTTGGAGTCTATTGATCTTAAGGGCCAGAGCGATGGCCTCCAACCTAATAGCATTTGGCCTGAAACCTAATAGCATTTGGCCTTCAACCTAATAGCGATGGCCTCCAACATAATGGCGATGGCTTCCAACCAAATTAATAGCAATTGGCCTTCACCCTAATAGCGATGGCCTCCAACCTAATAGCGATGGCCTCCAACATAATAGCCATGGCCTCCAACCAAATTAATAGCAATTGGCCTTCACCCTAATAGCGATGGCCTCCAACCTAATAGCGATGGCCTCCAACCAAATATCAATTGGCCTCCACCCTGCTAGCGATGGCCTCCAACCAAATAGTGTTGGCCTCCAACCAAATAGCAATGGCCTCCACCCTAGTAGCGATGGCCTCCACCCAAATAGCAATGGCCTCCACCCTAGCAGTGATGGCCCAATAGCAATGGCCTCCAGCCTAGTAGCGATGGCCTCATAGCAATGGCCTCCACCTAGTAGCGATGGCGCAATAGCAATGGTCTCCAGCCTAGTAGTGATTGCCTCCATCCCAAATAGCAATGGCCGCCACCCTAGTAGCGATGGCCTAATAGCAATGGCCTCCACCCTAGCAGCGATGGCCTCGAATCTAATAGCAATGGCCTCCGACCTAATAGCAATGGCCTCCACCCTAGTGGCGATCTCCACCCTAATAGCAATGGCCTCCACCCCAGTAGCGAT